AGAGAAAAAAAAAATGGAGTAATTCGATGGCTGGCTCGGCCATGGTGGCGCAGCCCCCTCCTCTTTTACCGACCAAACCGCTGTTCAGATTCAAGTTCTGACGCCTCCATCTGACTCAGAATGCCTAAAAACCCCTATCTAGCATCTTACCTTGCTCAATTTGGTCAAAAAACGATCGAGATCCGTCTACTTCAACCCCTACCATCACCGTTTCGTGGCATCTCTGCGCACCATTTTTCCTTTCTTTTTCCCCTCCTACTAACCTCTTGCCTTCCCTGACTGCAGATTTGTGTTTGCCAGCCTTCAAAACCACAGGCTATCAACTCCCCTCATCAAGTCTCGTTAGGAAATAGCCGTGCTACGGATTCTCTTTCCGCCATACTCTCCAGCCCGATGTCACTTTTCCCTTCTTCCTCCAAATGTATCTGGCGTGTCCAGGTTCATTCCGCTTTCCTTACTCAGTTGTAGCCAGGTGCTTCATCTGTAGGACATGACCCCCTCCTGCTGTTTGCATGAGCCGGCTGCCCATAGCCTTGCCGAAGGTGAGCTCCTCTCTCGTCCTCCCAACTCCCTTCCTCTCCGACTCCCCGCCGCCCCTTCGTTACCTTCGAATGCACCTAGCGCAGGCCTGCGTCTAGGTTCCCTCAAATTTTTCCTCCTCTCCTCGATTGCTGCCAACACTTTTAGTTGCACAAGGCAACGCCCATCAGCTCCGCCATGTCCCTTTCCCTTGTCACTTTCACACTCCTCATGGCACACTACCCTGCAATTAGCTCCTTCAAGAGGTCGCACAACATTTGGCAATCTACCTCGTGCTACAACAGCAACAGTGATGGGCGGTGACCCGACTTTATACTTGTCCTTCCTACGAAGGGACCGTGTCAGCCTGTTCTGTATCATTCCAATTTTTAACAGATGTCCCATAGGACTATACCACAACCTGGTGGTATCTGAATGGTCTGTGAGCGTACCTACTAAGTCGATCTGAGCATTCCCATCGGTCCACAGATCGGTCCCGGCCACGTCTCATAGTGGGATAAAAAAACAACGGATAAAATGAAATCAGAAATTTAGGAAAAATAAAAATAAAATAAAAATAAAAATCGTGACTTAGAAAATTTTGGGAAAGAGGGCGGAGGAGGGAGGAGGACCGCCGGCACTTGGTCCTATCCCAGCGGGCCCGGTGTCGGACTCCCCTAGCAAAACTAAAGGGGATAGTCCCGCGGGACCCTCAACCCCCTAGTTCCCTTCAAACGCTCCTCCGCTACTTCACTGCTCTTCGCTGGCCTTAATCTCGAGATCCAGCTGGTGGAACTCCAACGCTGTAATTAGTAGGGCTAAGCCCCAGCCTGATGGTAGTAGGCGCAAACTTACCTATAAGCAGTATCCGCAGATTTCCTAGGCCTGCGGAGGCATGCCAAGCCCACAGCAAGGCATATCCCCCAAGCCATGGCTTTGCAGCGCCGTACAGCACAACCTTGAGGCAGGCATTTGCGTGTCTTGCCGCACATGCCGGTCTTGCGTAGCATTAACCGCAGTGTGTGGCTTTCCTGGCCCCGCTGTGGCCGGCCTTTTTACTGCCGTCCTACCGGAAGAAGCCCGGCATCCGCCCCTACCGAGACCAGTCCATATCCATTCGTCCAACTTCCGGTCCCCTGTGACACATAGTCAACTCAGTATTGTGCGACCCGCACTATGCGACCCAAAAAGAGGTTGGCTTTAAGAGGGTCAGCCAGGACTCCTTCCTGGCCGTAGTCATTCTAGTTACACTTATGTCGGCCACGACTTTATCAGTGGTCGTGAGACTGCGGCCCACACAGTCCGGTCTAAACGCCTAAGTTACCCGGTAGTCAAACAACTCGCGCTTGCCCGCAAAGTGCATGCTCACACACTCTCTAATCAAGCTATACATACGCCTGCCACTTCTGACATACAGTAGTCAGTCGCGGCTAGCGACAACCCCCCCATTCTTTCATGTATCGACTCAATCGCTTCTTCTGCGAGGTGCAAAAACACGCACATTTACCCTTGTAAGGGTAATGGTGCCGACAGTTTTCCGGACCCTATTAAGCGACGTCCACGTCGCGTCGGTCAGATCAAAAGTTATAAACAATACAATTTCCATCTGCCGACAAGGAAGTTGACCAATCCGATTGGCCGGCTTAACTTTGTTCGAGGTACTTTATCAACCTACCCCCTCCATGGTGTTCCACTGCCAGGGTTTCAACCTGGGTCTCCCACGTCCTGGCCTCGGACTCTGGGGATACTTTGTTCCGTACTACAGCGTAATGTCCGCTCCAAGGTAGTAGCTTGATAGCCCTCTCCCTTTGCCTTAGACATCTGCCGGTTTACCGTTGGGTGTCCTGTTTAGTCATCGTCCTGCAAGCAGGGTCATAACTTAGGACGCGGGCCCTAACCGAGACCTCTTCAAAACACGGGGCACCTTCAGTCCCCAAAGCGGTAAATAATACCATCTCAAATATCCACCGATAATGAACGCCCAACCTGGAGTCTACCACAGGCGGCTTCTAGGTCTCCATCCTGGCCCACTATAGACTGGTTGATCGAGCCAGATCCACGGCCCACCGCGTTGTTATATTAGCGGTAGTGCCCTCGTCGGTTGCGCAATGATAAGCAAATTTCTCTTACCTTGGCACCCTGAAGGGTCCCGACTCTTGACCTCATCGACCCCAATGACCTTCCCTCCGGCTAAAAACCTCTCCAGGTGGCCGACCTTTCGAGACTTAACCTTTGGTGAGCCATGGTCCCGCTGCCAGGTTGCGCCGGCCAGCGGCCCTCGCTGGGAGTTAGGTTCTACAGTTCCAGCGATGCTAAGTATAGCCCCTTAGCCTGACCTCACATAAGATGTCCCTTAGACTGACTGCTTGTGGTCTAGCCTTCTCTTTTCACAATAATACACAAAAGATCACATACCAACTGCCCACGGGACTACGTGGAGGGATAGTGCCTTTCTCACAATTCCACAAATATTTCCACAAGGTCGTGCCTTTCTTGCTATGATCAGGGCAGACAAGGTCACACGTCTTATAGGGACACCTTTCCAAAATTTTCATCATACTGCCAGAATTCCATCCATAATTCTCACAAAAATTTATGGTCTTTTCTTGTCAGACTTTGCATGCATACAATTTTTCATCATCATTATCATCACAGCATCTCCTCAGAGTGCTCTCTCATAATTTCAATTATATTCATAGGAAGGACTCAATCGGCCATTGAGTTCCTTTCACAATYYCAAATGCACACAAAAKGACACAACCTTCAGTTGTGACCTTCCATTCAACATCATTACTCAGTTTCAATACACAATTTTATCACATGTGATGTGCATTCTCCCTTAACTATACTTAGTACTTTTCCTGTAACAATGACAGGTAGTCCTAAGTATCGAAAAAGGATAGTGCAGATCTGCAAGCCATCATAACAACATCTCACAAAATTCAAGCATACGTGGGCAAGTCCACAACTGATGTGAGCGTGATATACCCCACAAAACTCTATCAAGTCTGAGTTTCATAAGTACACAAGGAACCTGGGGTTTGCAAAATAGGCAAGACCCCTATTACACTCAAAGAAGAATCCAAGTATAGTACAAAAAAGTCAAAAATGTCTCGAACAGGTCAAAGTCCCGAATGTCCAAGTATCAACTCACACTGCACACACAGATCTCACACATCCTACTCTGAAAGGAGAAACGAAAAAAAAACGTAGTTGATACACAGACACATAACGTACATAGTCTTAAAAAGATAGTCGAACTCAAACTCTATTTAATGTACACTCTGTCCTATAGTATTGACGGTAACATCTCAATAGTGCCCCTCACTACTGATATACATGGGTGTGATCCAATCCTCCATGTGTCGTCCTATATACAATCACCTACCAGTAGAGATTCAGAGGTATATTTACTCATGCCAAGGTTTAGACCTTTCCGGACCTTAATGTCAAATCCTGGTCAATCACCACCTCACCTATCTGTCTGTACAACTGCATTCTACCACCATCACAAGACCTCTCAACCAAATTACCATTCCTATCCCTCCAAATCCCAGTGGATACGCCGGTAACAAACCCTCTCGCCTCATCCTCATAGAACTTGGGGCAATCATCAGAGAAGTGTTTGCCCTTCTTACAGTAGAAATATTTTCCAGGTTTCTTCTGTGTCGTCTTCTCTTCTTCCTGCGAGAGTACTGAGGATGGAACTGCCGTAACTTCGCTCGTAACCTCCTGCTGGGGAGTCTCAGATGGAGTGGGGCAGGCTGCTCTCTCCTCTGTCTGCGCCACCTGCTCACTCACTCGCTCCTCTGCCCCGGATCCAGTGGCCCAAGATCCCAGCGCCTCCTCCAGACCTGCAACCAGAGGCATATCCTGAGGTGGTGGGGTCTTCTGAGAAACCTCCAGATTCTCCTCTACCTCAGCCTCAACCCTGGCCTGTCCCATACTCTCTTGAGCCTCCTGCTGCCCCACAGTTTCCCTCTGAATTGTAGGTGGTGCAGCCTCATCCATGTTGGCCTCTGTTGGTGACCTCACCCCTGGCCTCACTAGTCCCTGCTCGTGTGCCAAGATGGTGGGCATCCTCCACTCAAACTCTCCTGCCTTTAAGTCCTTTCCTGCTAGTGTCTCTTGTGGCTCGAACATCTTCTCATCCAGCAGAGGGATTTCCTCACCCCTTTGCTCGTTTGCCCTCTCTTCCACCTTCTGACTCTTGAAGGCCTCCTCTGCAGGCTGTTTCCTGATTTCAAACTCCTGGACCTCGGTCCAGTCCACCACTGCAGTAGGCGCCTGTTGTGCACATTTGGCCTCAAGATCCTCTATCCTCTTCTCCCAATTGGCTTCCTTTGCCTAAAATATATTACGTTGTACCTGCAAGTAGGTCCTCAAGGTGTCGTTGACTTTGTTGAGGGTTTGGTTGACCTGTGTGATGGCCTCGTTGCCTGCCCAAGCCTTCTCCACCTCAATCTTCAGGGCCTCCATCTCCTTGTCCTGCCTCTCCAACTCCTTCTTGAGGTCACCAATTTCTTTCTGCCAATCTATTCTCTTTTCATGAGACGCCCACGCCACCCTAGTCAACCTCTTCTCCATCTTTTCATCAGAAGTCTTGGCCACCGCAAAACCCTCCTTCATAAGGCCCTTCAGGCTAAGCAAGTCTGTAGAGACCAGCTTAACCCCCATCTCCTGATGCTGCTCCCTGGGCCTCCCTGCTGCCTCCAACAACTTATCAAAGTTGTCCCAAGCCTCCGTGAAAAGAGGAGTCTCATCGTCTTGAGTGGGTGAGCCATTCTCCTTTCTGTCTTCTAGTATCACAGGCTGCTCTCCCTGCTCAACCTTCTCGTGCAGCTCCGCCATGTTCTTGAGTCTGATTTGGACTCTGATTTCTCTCGCTATTGCTGCTCTCTCTTCCTTGTCCTGTTCCTTCTCTCTTGCAGCTTGATCCTCATCCTTTCCCTGACCCTGTGCCCTATGAGACGTCTCTGGCTGCATGCCTGGTTTATGAGTGGCCTCAGGTACCTGAGCAGGGTGAGGAGGTATATCTGATCCACCTGAGGGCCCTCCCCTCTGGGTCCTCTCTGCAGTCTGCTCCTCTTTCTGTTGAGTTTTGCCAATATGCTGGTCCTCCCCTCTCTCCTGCCTCTGGGACCTGTGCTCTCTCCTCTGGCCATCCCTTTAAGCTCCTGAGGTCGTGCCCTGCTCAAAAGTCCTCCTCTCTGCTGTCTCTGGCTCCTTCCTCTTTCTCTGCACACTCCTCCTCTCCTCTGCCTGACGAGTTGGAGTATAATAGTTCCAAAGCAATTTCTTGCAATGGCTCCAGTTTGTGGCAGACTCCACAATAGATCTGACGAAGGACCTGAGGTGTTCCCTTACAAACAAAATAAAACCCCTCACCCTCTGGCTTGGTGGCTCGTTGATGCTGTCTGCAAACTCGTCGTAGCCCTTCAGGAATTCCCACAGGTTAGTGGCATCGAAACGAATGGGCTGTCCATCCCTTCCTAGTGGCGATGGGTGCAAGCCCTCCATCTTCCTCTCAAAATCCTGCCAGGTCAATGACTCCCTGACGAAGTTGGCAAGGGGCTGTGCCGACTCGCCTGCTCCTCGCACCTCCCGCAACATCCTGCTACTATCCCATTCAAACTCATGACCGTGCCTCCTGAACCCAACCATAAACAACTCAACGTTGTCTCCAGTATAAATGGGTGGCCTGTCCTCTCTCCTGGCCCTCATCTGCGTTCCCTGTCTAGTAACCCCCAGAGGGGTTTCCACTGGCCCTGCCCCTCCCCTCCCTCTTGGCATGGCTGCCCAAAAACTGGTGTCAAGCCTGTACAACAAGGAAGAGACAGACAAAAGCACACAGAGGATAAGCAGGTTCGGCAACAAAACAGGAGACAAACATTCCCCTCCCATATCTACCTTAACTACCTATACATACATGTGTAAATACACATATATAAATTTATCTTAATACTATACTTTATCACACCATTTTACTAAGAAACATACACAATTTTCTCATATATATATATTTATCTAGCAATACCTAACAGAAAGGGATTCTAAATTGTGGGACCCATGCTCACCTCGTCTCGAGCGACAAACTTCTTCAACCGCGAGCCTGACACCCAATCTTTCCATGCCGTTCCATTCATTTCTTAAATCTGGTATGCTCCATGCTCGCCACACCTTGTGATCCTGTACGGCCCTAACCACCGCTTGTCCAATTTCCTCGACCACTACTTCTCCAGGGATGAGTCGTACAGCAGCACGGTGTCTCCCACCTTAAGAGATTCCTTCCTTACTCGTGCCAATTGGTCCCACCTGAACTTGTCCTTGGTTCGACTCTCAGCCACCCTACTTGCCGCTTCCTGTACCTTATCCTCTAGGGCTCCAATTTGACGTGCCCTTAGATCAAGCAAGTCCGCAAAAGACAAGGTTGTCTCGAGGTCTTTGATGCCTCCAAGTCTTTAGGAAAATTTCTATAGGGAATGTCGCATGTCTGCCATACCATAACGTAGTTGGTGCGTAGTTGGTACTCCTTCTGACAGTGATATTTTCCACGAAGAAAGCAACCCTCAGGAAAGTTGGTCACTGATTGGGCCTGCCATCTGTCCATTTTGCGAGAAGATTTGTAATGGTACTGTGCCCTCTTTCCACTGGTGCGTTAGCCTGAGGGTGTGCCGCAGTCGTATACTCGGCGATCACACCATACCCTTTCAATAACGCTTTCACTTCGGCAAAGGTAAATTTGGACCCTCTGTCCATTACGAACCTTGAGACGAAAGGATAACGAAGGTAGTATTCTTCAATGCATCTAACTAGTACCTCCCCAGTCTTCGTGCGAATAGCCTTACCATCAACGAACCCTGAGAGATTGTCCCGTGCATCGAAGATATAGTTGAACCCTCTTATTCCCAGAGGCATCGCTAATAGATCCAGGTAAACAACTGCTCCGACCTCACATATATATCTAGGGTGAAGCGGTTCCCTAGGTCTTAGCAAAGACCGCTCCTGGCATGGTATGCAAGATTTACAATATTTGTCGATCATGTGTCCCATGTCATCCCAGTAATATAGTTCGTGAATCTTTAAGTATGTTGCATCTGTGCTCCTATGGCCACCAGCCGTTCCATCATGAAGGACAGCTATAACGTCAATCTGTCGATTTATCCCACAGACTACCCTTCTTGGATTCTTTCCTTTACTTCTCATGAATAGATGACCGTCCCTCACTAGGAAATTCGATCGCATCTTAAGGACTCTTTCGCTAGCATCTCTTTCCCTTGTTTCACATGACATGAGCATTCCTAATTCCAGATATGCTCCGTCGTACTCCTCCGCACGAAAGGCCTCTTTTATCTCACCTTCTTCAAAATCATCGTCCTCTCCTTCATGAATCACGTTCTTCCCTCTGTCTTGCCTCTCTCCTTCAATCCTAGCAACCTCTTATTGAAGCAACGAGTTTGCCAATAGGTACATTCCACCTGCCAGTCGTTCATGCTTTTCTACCTGCTGAGGTCCGGTCTCCAATGTGACAAAGGCTTCCCGTAGCTGGTACTTATCTGCCAAAGCCAATTCCATCATCCACTCCACTCCTGACATTCCCCAAGAATCTTCCTCAATATAAGGTTTGAGGACTATATCCGACCGCCGCACATGACATGGAGGTGCGAGCCATATAGGTCGTCCAAGAGTAACATAGTTACCTATAACCAATGACCAGGAGTTAATGTGGAGTTTAACATCCTCTTCCTTGTCCAGGAAACCGTCGACCGGCGGAGTATCCTCAATCACCCCTTTGTTTCTTTTGTCCCAGTCGATGCGACTTAACCCATCTGCCCTATTCTTGTTCCCAGGGATACGCTCCAATTCGAAGTCAAACATCCAGATGTACGTCAACCACCTGACAATAGTTGGATCTGAAGGAGCGAAGTTCTTAAGGGAACTAGCTAGAGCAGTTGGGTCCACCCTCAACCTGAACCTGCTATCAAAGAGGTAGTTTCTGAAAATCCTCAAACAGTGACGAACTGCCAAGGTCTCGCGCTTAAACTGAGAGTAATTCCTCTCAGTTGTGTTAAGCGTTCGACATTCAAATCTTAGCGGCCGTTCTTTTCCATTGAGGTCTCGCTGGATCAGTACTTCTCCCAGTGCAGTCGGCCCTGCGTCCGTTTCTACGATAAAAGGTCTGGTCATCACAACCGCATGGTCTGGTACCCCCAGCACTAGACCCCCTTCCTCAAACTCTTTCTTCAGACCCTCTATCACTGACTCCTGCTTGTCTCCCCATTCCCAATCCTGACCTTGGCGCACAAGCTTTCGCAACTGCTCTGTCTTTGCCACAAACCCTTTGATGAACACTTTCCAAAACCCACATGTTCCCAGGAAGCTCCTTACCTCTGTAATTGTCTCGAATGGTGTTGTCCATTCGAGAATCTTGTTCGTTTTCTTAGTGTCTGGCCGACGACCTTTCTCGTCGCACACAAACCCTAAAATCGTTGCTCCACGCATACAATATCTGGACTTTGTTCCGCTTGCAGTGAGGTTATGCTCCTTCAGCAAGTCTAGGACTTTACAAAGATCTTGCACATGATCCCAGACAAATCGCCTAATCCCAGGCATCACCTCCTGCTCATCCTTCTCTTTTGGCCCTTTTACAACCAGATCATCAATGTAAGGTTGTGTAATGTGAGGACTCACTGATTGCATTGCCCTCACCATGTGTCTCTCGACCATGGCAACCGCATTCGTCCACCCTTGCGGTGCGACATTCATGTGAATCATCCCTCGACGGGTATGCATTGCAGTCATTGGTCTGTCCGAGGGGTAAACAGGAAACTGGTCATAACCAGAATACAAGTCTATGAGAGATATTATAGATCTTCCTGCGCATGCCTCTGAAAGCGCATCAACGTTAGGGAGACCCCCTGCATCTCTCACTGTTACAGCATTTAAGCGCTACAAATCCTGTACCCATCTCAGTGTCCCATTCGGTTTGACAAAGCAAAACCAAGGGGATGCATATGGCCCACTCGAGTAGTCTGAGACGTGAGTGCGAATCTTCCCGTCAAGATAATTTACCACCTTTTCTTCGTCAGCCGGATTCAGGTATCGCGCACCTCGCAGATTTCATGGCTCATGTGGCACGGTATGTATCCGAATCATCGGAATCTTGTCAACATCCAGGCGACCACGTTCGTCATCATTGAAGGCATAGGCAGTATGTCTTCCTCTCATGGTCTCCACCATCAACTGTCTCTCCTGCGCTGTAAGGAAATCTGGTTCCCCTACTATCAGCGCCTCTTCCGTTTCTTGATTGATACGACACGGTCCATTCTCCGCATTTTTCCGCATCTGCCATATTAACTCTCGTTCCCGCTCGTAGTAAACTTATTGTTCCTCAGTCACGAGCACAGGAACAGGGCGGCATTTTTTATCTACTCTTTTGTACCGCCTTTGTGACCCTTGCTTGAGCCCACCCCTAAAAAAGGCCGAGTTGCACTCAGGGGTTGGGCTCCTGCCGATCCTCCTCTCTTTCCGGGCGTCCGATATACCAGCTCCACCTCTCCTTCACCCATCTGTTCCATCACCTTTTCTCTCAAGACCTCTACGGCCTCCGGGTCTGTCATCCCATAGGTTGACATTATGTCCATAGCATCGCCTATATTGGTCAGGCTAAGAGTCAGTGCTTTCGGATTCCTTTCTTTTTCAAACTTATCTCCCCCTAGCCTCTTCCTTTCTTCTTCCGATTCCTCAATCGTGAAAGAACCCGGATTGGGCCTATTCCTGATACTTCGTGGCCCTGTATTTCTGCAAGTGATAACCTCATAGTTGCCACATACAGGGTCACATAAGACAAGGAACATCGTCCCATTATGCTTATTCAGTATGATGGTCTCCGTTCGGCTCAGAAAAGATCAGCCCAATAGGATGGGATGATCGAGATCGGGCATTACAAAGAAACAACTTCTCACTTTAACCTTGCCAATCTCCAAAACCACTCTCGATGCGGTCCCTATGAACACAGACCGACTGTTCGCTCCCATTAGTACTCCATTATCGGAGTGATCAATCTCCATCCCCAGACGCAAGGCATGTTCCTCTTTTATGAGGTTCATTTCTGCCCCAGTATCCACCATTGCCGTGCACGTTTTTCCTCTTACTACTACGTCCAAGCATCCACATGCGACGGACTTCCAATCCATCTTCGTGCCTGTCTCTGCCCATTCCGCTTCCTTGGGGATTATGGCCCCCAATCGCACGCTGGCTACCATCTTCCTGGATAATCGAGCTTTGAGCTCGTCCCGGAGCCTTAAAGCTGAAGCCAACACATCCTTCAGGTTCATAAGATGATTATGACCCTCAAGGATTCTATCCATTATTTCCTCCACGTCATAGCCTTCTTCTACCCGGACAACATACTTCCTTTTCTTCCCCTCTGGAGCTCTGTCCGTGTCTGCCTTAACATCCCTCTTTTTTTCTCTTAGCTCGGCCCTCTTATCCTCTTCCGTCCTTAATCTCTCATCTCTTTCATCCTCGTCCTCTAGGATGTCTACTGTCTCTTTTTCCCCACTAGGCTCAAGAATATCCTTTGCCGGCTCATTGGGGCTTACCGTCCTTTTGGCCCTTGTCCTGACGGCCTGTGGCGCTTCTCCTGACCTTGATGGTGGCCTGTAAGCCATTCCGGACCAAGGCGTTGGTCCCGAAATCGTTACGCCTGGTAGGCTTCCAGATCCTCCTTGCGGTCCTGGACCCATATCGTAGAGATACACCAGTGGCTTTTTACCTTTCCATCCCTTGACCTTTTCACACATGTTGGTCAATTTGTCTTGATACCTTCCTATCTTCGCCACTAGATCCTCCATTTTTTCCATTGTTCTCCGGGCCTCATTCCAATAACCTCTTTCTATCTCCCCGTCAGACTCTATCACAATTGGTTCTTCTTTGACTGTACCGGCTTTCCTTTCCTGCTCTACTTCCTCATTTTCTCCTATTTCTTCAACCCTTACATCAGGACGGACTTCCTCCTCTTGCAAGATTCGAAACATTGCCGGAGGAGCGGGCGGCTCGCCGGCCTCGACTCGTCTCAAGGCCTCCTTTCTCGACCCACCAGGGATCTCTGGGTCAATGTAGTATCCAAACTTATCATACATGTCACCGTCATAGTTGGTACTAATCAACCCTTCATCTTTATCGTTCCTTCGGATATGACAGAACTTGATGGTGTGACCCTTCTGCCCACAATGCCATCAAATGACATTCCTCTAGTCTATCCGTCCTCTACCAAAACCTCGCTCGCCGTCCTGACTACTCTGATTCCCTGACGCATGCGAATCCTCATTTCCTCCTCCACCGGAATTGCCACCCCCATTTCCTCGCCCTCGGCCCCATCCTTGGTTTTATCGACATCCGCCGCCTTGATTTCCCTGCGACCGATGTGGTGCCGGCTGTTGAGGTTGGCTTGACTGGGGGCTCGGGTGGCTTACTTGTTGAGTCTGGGGTCCTGGACACCTGCAGGAAGCCGCGCTCAGCGGCGCTCCCGCGCGTGATCCATGTGGTCCACTCATTGGCCATGGTACATATGAACAGTGCCCAGGCCAAGGACTTGGAGCTCCATAACCCGGCCAAGGCCCATAGGGTGCCGGCGCGGCCTGGTCATGCGACTCCGGGGGAGGCAGTGCTGTTGCTTGCGGGGTCTGTCCTCTTCCTGAGCCTTGTCCGCCTTGGGCCAGATTTTGGCCTTCCTCTGTGCCTTTGTTAGCTTTTGAGGCTCAGGCTCCTCTTCCTCCTCTTTTTCCTCCTCTTGCACCACCGCCTTCTTTGTTTTTCCTTGGGTTTGTGGTGCCGCCATAGTTTTCCTTTTTGCCTTCTTTTCTGCATCGAGTTGGGCAACAACATCCTCTACCATTCTCTTAAAATTTCTCCCTTCACTTGTCGAGGCATCCAAAACCTTCCTCTTCTTCCTAGCCTGTCGCATTTGAAAGATGTCTACTTGGTCCATCTCTCCTTCTATCACGCCCTCCTTTATGGCGGCCCAAGTGAGCTTCTTTCCTGGCGCAACCTTCTTGGTGAGCGACGAGGCCTCCCAATTCTTGAAGTGTCCCTGGAAAGTGGCACACTGTTCTTCTTCCGCCAATCCGGGGACTTTCTTTGCCATCTTCTCAAATGCCGTTGCGAAAGCTCCCACCGTGGAGAACTCGTCTCGTTGTAACATCTCCAAGTCTGTCTTCGTTAATAAACCATCCCCTAGCTTGAACCGCCTCTGCATTTCTGCCTTGAACTTAGCCCAGTCTCCTCTTGCTCCAGCAACCACCTTCATTACCTCGGGTCGGGTTTCCCACCAGATGTATCGAGGTAGGAACTTGAACTTGCCTTCTTCGAATACCTCGGCGGTAACTTGTTCCAGTAGCTCCAGCCACTCAGATACTCTGTCCCCTTTAAAATGGAAGATGTCGATTTTCGGCACTTGAAGTCGTGCCAATTCTTTTTTTTCAAGGGCCTTGACAAAGTCTGCCGGCGTGGCGGTCGGGCCGCGCTCGATTCCATCTGCGTCTGTCATCTTTTATCCCCTTTGCAAAACAACCTGCTAGGAAAAAAAAAAATAGCCCATCAGATAGCTATCGTCAAGTTCCAGAGGACTTACCCTAAGTCCTACCTAGCCGTTCCACCCCTAGGTCCGGCCAACCACTCTAATATTAGTTATTCCAAACTTCAGATACAACCTTGGCCATACTTCTAATCACTTAGTCTCATTATTATCTCGTACACAATTTTCTCACGTAAGACAACCCAAACCATAAACTTTTGTTGTTTTGCCTAGATCATCAGCCTGCACTTAACCTGCGTTCGTTCTCTTAAGGACCTCGGTAGGCAGTCGAGATCCTCGGCAACGGCGCCACCTGTCGAGCGCATCGGTCTCGCAGGGGGACCCTCCCAGCCGCGTCACGCAGGATTTGGCAGGAGTTATCGCGGAAGAGTGTGTTTGCCACTCCAACCGAGTGCGCCAGCCGTACCTCTCACGCGCCCCTACGACAGGACAGGGCCACGCGAGGCAACGCTTCCTCCACCAGCGGGAGCTGTCACCATCCTTTTGGTGGGCGTATCCCCGCCGAGCTACTGAACCACATGCGAAGGCTTTTATAATGCAATTGCAGAGGTGGCCCAACCGAGGGCTTTTCTCGTTCGCTGTAGCATAGGGGTACGCGCGGTCAACGCCTGATATCGAACCCGTACGTGAGTCGACGACACTGGGGGGCTGATGTCCTAAGTTCGATTTCGCTTCGGTTGACTAGGACGCTCTACGCACACCACAGGATACACCACTTAAAGCAAAATTTGAGTAACCCATATTCACATACGCATGCACCAAAGCAAAAGAAAAACACAATACTCCCAGTCCCTTTAGTACCGGACCCATAACCTTTTGATACAGCCCTGCCCAAACAACAACAAGCGCGTATGACCGAACAGCCCGCAACTTATGCGTTCGCCCGGCCTCCGCAACGCAACTACATCCAATAGATAAGTTCACAATCAAATTCTGTCTTCAGACGAGTGGCCAAATCACCTCAACTTATGAGGATCCCCACCCAAACGTCGGCTATGTTTAGAAAAGAAAAATAGTCAAGCTTCATATATCTCTCTGCTTTCGTGCTATCAAGGACATAGAACCAACTACCCAACTTATGGGTAGTCAGCCTGCCCACAGTTACCACACCAATTTGTATTGTTCATCTTCTTTCCCTCTGCTTTGTCTGCTACCGGCTTATATGGCTGGATCTCCCAACTTATGGCACCCAGCCTGCCATGAATATACATAATAAATAAAGTATCATTTTGTATACTCTGATTCTCTTTAGAGATGGCGGCTAATGACTTGACCACACCAACTTATGGTGTGAATAGTCTCGCCTGGAACAATAAAGCATAAGACCGAGTCACACCAACTTATGGTATGGTCAGCTTTTGCCTAAACAATTGACGTAAGGCGTATGACCAGGCACAACAACTCATGTTGTGACAGGTCAGCCTAAGCTTTCGGCATACAAAAGGAACTGGACTACCTCAACTTATGAGAAACCCAGCCTTTGCCTGAACAACGACAAAAGGCATATGACCAGGCACAACAACTTATGTTGTGCCTGACCAGCCTATACAATTACATACGGCGTAGAACCAGGCTACCCAACTTATGGGTAGTCTAGCTTGCCAAATAACRWGTAGAAYACATGCTATCRACTGAGSAGCTCGCAACTTATGCRTTYGCMCAGCCTTCGCTACATAGTTACAACCCTTGTGTTGTYTGAATTCAATCAGCTAGTCTTAATTATCAATAAATACTTGTTAATTTATTTCGCAAAACAATGTCCTGAAAATAAACAAACAAAACAGTCAAATATCGTTTCCATTCATACTTTCAGTCACACAATAGCACAAGGTTGATATAATTTAAGGTTGGGATCACACGCGTAAAACGAAGGCCATACCTGAATGTTCCCTGCCTCCATAACCCCGCCTGGGTTCCGACAGAGCTCCCGCAATCGGTGGGTGGACCTCCCACAAGGTCTTGTTGCGGCTCTACGGGTTGCAATCCCGCCTGCCGCCTTCCTCTCGTCACCAATAGATCATACCGAGATTAAGAAGGACAGATGTAGGTAGATCAGAGTCTCGAGATCCAGGAGAGGTACAACTCAACTTACAATGAGAGGGCCTTGAAATCTTGATGCGCCTGAGGGCCCCATAATGGCAGCCAGGAACGCAATAGAACCTCTCAATCCACAACAAAATGCAGAATGCCAACCCCCCTGACAATCCTCCACGTTGCAGTAGCAACCCCTGTACAGAGTCTGACTCCTCCCTCCAAGTTACCGTGCTCAAAACTGCACTTACTTAGCCCATAAAAAACCGTTTTTCGAATAGAGCACACCCCCCCCGTGCTCTATTTAGCTACGGGCTGTAACAGCCTCGCGCAGTCGTGATGCACAGCAGCAGCTATAAGTTGTGTCGATAGTCACAGCCACTAGTCAGCAGCGGCCACAGTCTGTGCCCAGTCAGCAGTATCCACAGCGGTACACAGCAGATACAGCAGGCCGCATGAGTCTCCCACAGTCCGTAATAACCAGCAGTAGGTACTAGCAGCAGCAGCCCCGCCGCAAAGAGGATCTGCCCAGTACCCTGCTGCAACAACCTGATAACGGCTATCAATACACAGTCTGTGGCTGTGGTTTCTCGGAGGTACTGGTATAGTTACCGTAGCAACAGCATTAGGCGGAGCGCACACCAGTCACCCACAGCAAAGGACGGTGCTTGCCTTCAACAGTGGCCCCTAAGTCTCTGTGATAACCACTGTGTGCGCAACCTGCTCATCTCCTCAAGTCCGCAGCCATACACAGCAGGCCCCAACAACATTCAGCAGGACAACGGGTATTCAGTAGTCCTCAAAAGTGCAGCCACTTACGGTCTGTGTGTGCTATGGCAACCCGGTTTAGAACTTGTAACACGAGCTACCCCCCGCTTGTAGCAGCAGTAATAGTTGGTGAACAACCCGCAGTCTCTTGAAAACCCCTCCAGTTGCCTTAGTCACTCCCTCCACTCTGAGTATCCTCACTTAGGCCTATGTTGCATCTGTACGTAATGAGGAACAATGCTCAGATCTGTAGTGAATCAATAGGGGTGGCGCTCTGCACAATAGCGAGCCCGTCAACAGACAATCACCCTGCACAGTAGTCCGCTATGGCAAGGCACAACGGGCGGCTCGGTACAGTAGAAACTCTTCAGTCCCAGTGCAGTGGCAGCCTGATCCCGTTGTAGTGGTGGTACCTATAACAAACCCAGCAGGACTGCTGCTTCAGCATCCGAAGCACTACTTGAACAACTGTACAATGCTTATAGTCTCCTCATAACAGTGGCCACAGAATATATTCATAGCAAAGTACGACATCAGCAGCCACCGCCCTGACGCAGCTTCAAACAGTCGGACCCAACATTCAGCAGCAGAAGCCACACAGCTAAAGTTTCGTTGTAGTACTGGCTCCTAGCACTAGCCACCGTCTGTCGCAACCTTCCTTGACAGCATCTCTGGCACCTAGTCGTGACGTTTGGTAACAGCAACCCCAAGCTGTGGCCTGGCCTAGCAATGCTGGTACAAACTGAGTAGCTACCGCCCCTGCTTTTTATATAAGTTTCAGTCCTCACTTAGTAGTCTTCCAC